AGAGAGAGAGAGAGAGAGAGAGAGAGAGAGAGAGAGAGAGAGAGAGAGAGAGAGAGAGAGAGAGAGAGAGAGAGAGGAGGTCGTAGGCGCAAGGGAGTGGAATATAGATGATGAGATGGACGAACTTCTGAAAGAGAAATGGTCATGAGGTGGAAGAAATATGAAAGAGACATTGGCACAAACAAAGTAGTCTTCCCTTGGGGGTAGAGGCTGATGCTTTTATCAGTTTGGTGGGGAAGCAAATGGAGGGATGAACCTCACATGCCATCTGTGGGCCTATATATTATTGGCAACAGAGTAAACAACAAAGTAATTGGATCCGCCTACATTAACTCTCATACGTCAGGTACACTAACTTCTCAATGTGTGCTTGAGTGGAGGGTTATTGTGGAAATAAGAGAATGAGATGATAAAGAGTGAAAGAAAAAGGGAAATGTGGAAGCAAAGTGAGATGCTCACTGTGATGTTCATCTGGATCGCAGAGTGTCCCATCTTTTATCCGCTGTTGACCTCTCAGTTTTTTCTGGGCCAAGTTTTGTGGCCTATCAGTTTTTCCAACTTTTTCGTAGTCTCATTGGTGCAGTGCAGGCTTATTTCTGCTCAGTATGGCTGCCCATCGGGTTTAAGAGAACGTCTCCAACGGAGTATAGTCACTTTCACAGAGTGCAGTCCCTGGACTCTGTGTAGACACTGTAGAGGCAACTGATGCTTAAAATGGGGGAATGTTCTTGCTCTAGTGGAACTGTATTTCCTTATTTAGTAGTCGATGTAAACGTCGACCAATTTTTTTGGGTAAGAACAGCCGCCCATTGTTTGTTATTGCTATGATGCATCCGGTTGTAGAGAAACCTCTGCGATGTCATGCTAACTCGAAACGCTGCGATTGTTGCATCCATTCGCTGATTCCAAAGAAGATACGTTTGAGTCTGTGCAGTGTGCTGGTTCTTGCAGTGATGACGTCTGGAGGAAGTCGGTGTCTGGTGGCGTGGAACGTCGGTCGCTGACTCGCTATCGCCCGGCTATGCAGAGGGAGAATGATATACCAGGTAAGACTGTCTGGTAAAGAAAACAGTAAAGCAGATGGGGGGAGAAAAAGTTCTTCTTGAGCGCTTCAACTGAGAGCATTGTTTATGCGTGCGACTGGGCCTGGGGAATAGACATTTGACTAGTCTGTCAGAGTGATTGTCATAGATTGTAAGAGGAAGGAATCGTCTGTGCTGCCCTAAGGGACATCTGTGGAAGGAACAAAAAAGAATCATGTGCAGGGGCACGACAGACATCTGTGGTGCCAGGACGGACATCGTGGAGACCAGTAAGAATACTGAAGGGACAGGATGGACATCTGTGATGCCCGTCACCGTAAGGCCTGAACCGACAGCGTGGGACAAGAACAGTGATCTGTAGGATTGTCACAAACGGACTGATACTCGATTGGCCAGGAGACACATCTATAGTGTGGGAATGCACATCTGTTGTGTACAGACGGGCATCTGCAGAACCAGGACAGATGCCCTTGGATCAGAAGAGAAGGATTTGTCTCAGGAACAAGGACGGACATCTGTGGGCCCCAGATGGACATCTCCTGAAACTGCAATGGTGGGATGCTCTATGGGGCCAGGACGGACATCTGGGGAACCCCAGGGTAGACACTGTCGGATAACGACGGACATTTGTGGTAACAGAACGGGGGCCCAGGAAACCGACAGGAACACAAGGAATCGCCTCTGGGCCCAGGATGGACATCTGCTGAAACTGTAAGTGTACTTTGGGACCAGGAAGGACATCTTTGGGACCAGGACATACATCCGTGGAGGCGTGATGGAGGTCTGTGAGACCAGGGCGGACATCCTGAGGACCAGGAACGATATCCTTGGGACCAGGACATAGATCGGTGGAACGGAGATGGATGTCTGTGAGATGAGGACGGACATCTTTGGGACCAGTAAGTAAACGGTGGGATGAGGTGAGGACAGACATCCTTGGGACCAGGACATGCATCTGTGGGGCTGAGACGGACATCTGTGGGACCAGGATGGCCATCTTTGGGACCAGGGCATGCGTCTGTGTGGATGGGACGGATGTCTGTGGGACCAGGAGGGACATATTTGGGCCCAGTGTGGATAGCGCGGGCCATGGACTGACATTTCTTGAGACCACGACAGACATCTTTGGGACCAGTACATGCATCTGTGGGGCCGAGACAAATGTCTCTGACACTGCTGGAGGACATTTTTGCGACCAGTGGGGATACTGTGGGACTGGGACAGACATCTTTGGGACCAGGACAGGCATTTCTTCGGATCTGGCTTGACAACCTACGTGTAATTTTGTACCATTTTGCTCAGACTGTAAAAAGGTTGAACCGAATCGGCTTAATATGTGTATGGAGGATGGAGAGTGCAAAGAAGTGTGACAAGTTCTTTTTTCTGGGGGGGAATCACGGAACCAATCGAGAAGAGACATCTGACTATTATTGTCTAATCATAAACAAGAAGGGGGAGGCAAGTTAATCACTCAGGAGTGAGGACTTTTTGAGTCTTTTTCCTTGTTTTTCCTTTTCTTTTCCTTGTGAATTACTGCGGAATCGTGAGGATATGTGCGACTTTGGGAAGGAACGTGAAGTGGATCACAACACATCATGAAAGTGCTTTTTGCAGCTGCCATGGGGTAAGCATACCTTAGGCAGGGAGGGAAAGACAATCGCATGATGATGATGATGATGATGATCATCGTCATCATCATATACCATGCTGTCCTGTGCAATAGGACAGGCAGCCAATCAGTCATGCCTGCAGGGCTTGCATGGAACACAAGCCCTGACTTGAATGCGACGTATTGTATTAGTACCATGGACATAAAATTCCTTTTGAGCCGAGTCTTCTGTTCTCTTCTCTAACTCGGCCATTTCTATTCTCTTGAAGCCTCTTCTTCTTCACGTCGTTTTCTCCTCTCTACCCTCTGTTCTCTCTTTTCTTTTTCGGAAAAAACAACAAAACAGGTCCTTATGGACCCGGCTACATATTCATTCCTGGTTGCCTGAGTGGATGAGGCAGGTAGTCGATGCTGGACCATTCTGCTGGATGCAGTTTTTTTTTTTCCCACGACGTGTCTTCCATGAGAGTAAACCCTCAAATGATGTGATTTTTCTTTCTGCGTGAAATTGGACATGGAGTTGCTTTTTTTCCCTTCTTTTTCAAACCATCGGGACACTTCCCATTCCCAGGCCTTTTTCTCCGAGGCGGCTGCATGCACGCACGCCACGACTTTCGGGGTCCCGCTGCCGGACCAAATGGCTGGCGACGCCAGCCAAGAGGAGGCCCATGCCTGTTCGTTTGTCTTTTGGCGTGCAGGGCGTATCCCGCCCTGGGAAAGAGTGGTTTGGATGTACTGGTGGTTGAGTTATACAAATGATGTTTGTTTTTCGGAGTTTTTCCTTCTTTTTTCAGATCGAGTTTAACAAATGTTCTGTGCAGTGGATGAGTGTGTCTGCAAAGAAAATGGAGGTTCAGTACATTTGATATATCATTCAATGTCTATAGATATAGATCAACCAATAACTGAATTCAATAACTAACAAATGCTGTGAAATAATAAGTTAATTACATCAGTCATTTGGACACTCAGTCATTTGGACACTCGGTAAGGAAAAGAGCTCTGGGCCGTTCAGTTCCGAAACACCTAGCTGTTTTTCTGTGGAGAGGGAACCATGAGCTGCCACATGTAATCCCCCAGGCAACATGGGACTCAGTCATTCAGCCTAAATCCAAGGGAGGACTGGGCATTATCGACCCAACAACCCAGCCTATGGCGCTGGCCATCAAATGGATCCAAAGTGTCCACTTCACCCCTTTGCTACTTTTGGGGAGCTTTATCCTAGGAGCAGATCGCTAGGTTGCCCTGTCAGCCCTCCCCCCCCCCCCCCCCCGGAGGTGGACCCCTGCACATGGCTGGAAGACCGGTACTGGCCCCTTCCTAGGCGAGCAGCGAGAGATTGGGGTGATGACAGACAGGTTGCCAGGGCACATCTCTAAAAGGACAACCTTTGGACCCCCCTGCTAAAAATCTGGCACAAACTTCCTCTTCTCGATAATGCGGCCCCCTCCAGCCCCTATTAGGTAACAAATGGATCACAGACAGACATGGCCAGACTTTCATCGGCTCCGATCGACCATGGAAGGGGTGAGTAAAGCACGGGATCCACAGGGTATGTGACATCTGGGACAGGACCGGAAGAAGAATGACCCCAACAAAGCTTTCAGCACCATCGATACCCGTCTAGACGGAGGCCTTGGTCAGCCTTTTCCACAGGAGTGATAATACTTTATACGGAATTCTACCGAGGATGTCCAATGGGTCCGGTTGGGACAGGTCTATCGCATCCGGGTTTTTGAGGACAATGAACAATGGCTTGCCTTCCCGACCAACACCCCCATAGATCTGTTGCCTTTTCACCCCGTCACATGGAGCTGGACGACTAAACCCAAGAGGGGGGAATGAAGCAGTCGGCAGCTACATTCCCTCCAGGTCAAAACCATATACCGCATGCTACGGCCCCGGGGGGGACCTGCGCGTGAAAGTAACAAGCTGATGGATGAAAACACCTAAATGTAGGAAGAGACACCTTACGTCCAATCAAACGGTTTACAGCCACTGAGACACGCCCGGCTAAGGTGGACTCCCTGCAATGGCAGATTGAGCATAGATGCTTACCCACAAATAACTGGACGATTGACAGAACTCGACTGGGACAGAAGGGCGTCACCCTCCCCTGGTGCAAGCTCTGTCATCAAAGTTCCCCGCAGAGAAGAATTCTTGAAACTATAAAGCACATTATGCTGCACTGCCGGTGCTCCGCCTGGGTCTGGGTCTGGGACTGGGTCTGGGTCAGGTGATGGTGATGGTGGGACCGCATCTGGAGCCAGCTGGGCACAGGGTTACAGTGGCCTTGGGAGTGGTGGGCACTGCTGTGTGGCGTGCGGAGCCCGGGGACTCTTAGCACCTTATTCAGCAAGGGATACTATTAGGCTGTTTTTTTTTTTCTGCTGCTGTGGACAAGGGATAGGCTGGTTGTGTCAGAGTCTGTCAGGCGGCCCACAGCAGCCTGAAGAGGTATTTCCCTTCTGAATCCCCTGATGCGCTGCTCAGTCAATCCCCTGGATGACAGGGTAACAACCTCCTGCCTTTTCTCTTCAGTGAGTAGTCGCTGTTTTCAACCGAAGCCGGGTAATGGCCCTTGTATCTCAACATTGTATCTCAATTTTCTGTGTCTATTCTTATATGGAGCGCTGGGCCTGGTTCCCGGCACGTGCTGCGCCCCACGAATAGATTGGAGAATTGTTTTTTTTTTTTTTTTTTATAAATAAAACAGGTCCTTATGGCCCTGGCTTCATTTCCATTCTGGGGAGCATCAGTCTGGTTCCTATTCCACCGGCAAGTCCGAACAAAGTATTACATCATGAAACGCACTCCACGCTTCCTTCCATCTGGCCGAAGGAACCTTCACCAGCATTGATTACTCCAGCATCGTGGAGGATTGACTGTCAGGTTGCCTTACTTCCACCTTTCCTCTCAGGTCCATTGTATGAACCTGTCAGATAAATGATAAAGAGCAAGAAAGGTAAAAGAAGCTGCGGAAGACGACTCTTGGAATTTGCCCTTCAATATTACGTGGCCTGGGACAGATCTTATCCGTCTGCCGGCTGGGATCTCTGCCTTCTCCACCCTGATTCTGAGTTGTGCCAGTCTTTCCACCGTATGCGAACGTCGTTTATCTTTGCTACTTTGCCTCCTGTGAACCACACCTTAGTGAATTTTGCCTTGATTCTTCTCAGTTGCTCCTCGTCCACACCTTTGCATAGAGTGTCTCGTCTTATGCCCACTTACAAAGAATCTCTGCCTGGATCAAGGTCCTTGTCTTCGCCCATACCTTCTCCCTTGAGAGTCCCTCAATGTGATTCAGCAGCACCTTTCCTTCCAGATGGCCCACAACGTTAGTTACCTTTCTGATCATTCTGAACATTCGTCCATAGAAGGAGTTGGATGGGGTGTTCATGGAGGGGAGTAGAGAAGAGGGAATCCCAGAGATCCGAGGCCCTCGCCCAATACTCTGTCACCTCTCTACAGCGTATCAGGCACTGTAGCATATCTTCTGTTTCATTTTCTCAATTTTTCTGAGCATACCGCACATAAATCTGAACTGTTGGGGTCATTCTTACTTCTTTTGATATGCAGCCACTGGTTAACCGATAGAGCCACGTATGAGATGAGCCATTGGAGGCTTCTGATTTTGACCGGATGGATTGACCTGAATTTTTTTCCATGGTATTTGTGGGATCTAACTAGCGTCCTGACCTATTAAACCACCATTACTTCCTGAATTCGCTCCGCGTATACGGCCAGCCAAAAGTGGAAACCGTGCCGTTTCCACTTGGCTGAATCGGGCCTACCAGCCCAGGCCCGTTCATTCCAAATTTCGCTCCGCGTATACGGGAGCGTTTTCAGGAAGTACTGGTGGTTTAACTTCTGCCATTTGTTCTTGATCATTGGGTCGCGATCCTTTGTTTTGAGGAGTAACTTGTATCCCAGTTTGACTGTGTATTCCTGGATTGGTACATTTGACTTCTGCTTCTGTCTGGTCTCCAAGCCCACTCTGCTGGATCGAATTCCAGGTCTTGAATCGCTGTATCTATTCTAAAGATTGTCTTTGGCCATGATCCCAACATTCTTACTTTTTTGAAAACAAAAGAGCTTAGGATTGTGCTTTCCACCTCATGAATTCAGGATAGATGGGAGGCCTTGCGTGGAGGGGGTAATTGAGAAAGAGGTAAATACAGCCTGGGTATCCAACCCTTGCTGTTTGTGGGAAAATTGATAGGCCCTTCAGGGGGTTAAATCCTGCACCCTCACTCCCCATTCACCCGATTTCCAGGTTGAGGCTTCGCTCAACAACACCTTCCAGCCTTCTGGGATGTAGTTAATAATGGATTGTAGATTCGCGTCTCGTCGGTGACATCCTTTGACCTGGGAGGCAAGTTCCTGTTCTGTCACCCGATCCTTTTTCCCAGAATTGTTTTGTCGGCCCATCGATTCCGGGTGACTTGTTATTGTTCATACTTTGGATAGCAAACTTGAATTGTAGTTCTTCCATGGTGATAGGCATGTCCAAAGCTTCTACTTCTTCTTGAGATATCGTTTGTTCCAGGTATTGTAGCATCCTTGTCCTCGCCTCTCTGGGATGCAGTTAATAATGAATTGTAGATTCTCGTCTCGTCGGTGACATCCTTTGACCTGGGAGGGCTCCTCGTTCCAGACATGGCTCAATTTCCACGATAGCCATCTCCATCCTCTAGGGTTAAGGATAACTGATGATCACTTTGGCTTTCACCCACAGATTACCAAACAGGGGTTGCCTCAATATCTCGTCCTTGGATTAGGGTTTACCCACCTTCTTTGGCAGTCCAATATGGTGTGGGGGACCGGACTTCGTTTGGACTGCTTCCTCTTCGTTGGTTTTTGCGCCCTGTACTTGGGCCCCATTCCATGGTCATTGCCCCAAACAGACCGGACATGTTTGCTGGTGAGGCTGTCGGTGCTAGGCCTCTTATGCTGTCTAAGGCCAGTTTATTCCATGTCGTACCAGGTTTAGTCAGTAGTTTGACTATCCATTCAACTTGTAGGGCTTTGGTTTCTTGTTGGGGGTCTATGATACCAAGACCTCCTCTTGCTAGTTTCCTTGTGATGTAATGTCAGACTATCTTCGGTAGACAGTTCTCTTTGTTTGATCTCTCGACCACAAGTACACTCTTGCTTTGCGATGAAGTTCTTTGATTGTATGGTCCGGAGCTGTCCAGATTTACGATATATACCACGTCATTGAAAAAATAGATGTGTTAATGTCTAGAGCTCGGACCAGCAACGATGTGCATGTGCTACCCCATCTACCCAGTTTGTTAATTTGTTTGACAAGTATATTTTGGGTCATGTGAGGGGCGAAGCCGTCTTTTGTCAGCAGGACGCCTAGATATTGTGTAGGGGTCTCCGTTGCCTCCCATGTCATGTCTGCCTCGAGGCCTTGAAGCTGGGGAAATTCCTCCTTCAATAGCCACCAGCCGATTGTTGTCTTCCAATTAATCTCCATTC